ATCCACCACTCCTGGGTAAAAGCAGCCCACCAGCTGGACAATCAGCATCCAGAGTGGAAGGTGACCTCTGACCTAAACCACCTCCTGTAGATCATCTTCAAGAAGACAGCGGATCCGCTGACCAACCTGAATCTCCTTATCCCCTCCTATCTGGATAATTATTGTTTTTGGTTTTTTTCTAACAGTTTTATTCTGTCTTTACACAAGTGTCACCGGAACCCCAGACTGGTACCAGGAGGAGAACTTCTCTGCCCTTGCTACTCCGACAACCCCCTTGGGGAAGATGGGGGAGACTCGAGATACTGAACCCCTTTTCATTGCCCCTGATCAGCAGGAAGTAGCTAGAGCAGTTGTCCATCTTATCCCCAATTCCTGAGTCTTTTATAATTCCCAAGGCTAAGAATAGCTTGTGGAACAAGAGGGGGAACTGAAAAGGAAAATGAGGGGCCTTGCAACCTAGCTCAGTATCTGGTTAAAACTGTAGTCTTACTTCCCCACTCTGACTAACTTGGGCAGAGCTGCAGAGCCTAACCCCAGGGCCTGCCACAGCTGACTTGGGCGGAGCTGCGGAGCATGCTCCCAAGGCCCCGCAAAGACTGACTTGGGCAGAGCTGTGGGGATCCTCAGGGGCCCACCACAGGAGATATATTGGTCAGAGCCACCCACGAGTTGAGTTCAGGCTTTGGATCCGGAATTTCCCCTGGACTAGCAGATCTGCGAAATAAAGGTTAAACTTTCCTCCCTTAGAGTGCTGGCTGATTGTTCTCCTGTGCATTCTGCCAAAAACACTAACATGATCAAGAAAGTGCAAATGGGCTCAAACTGGGTTTGTATAATGAATAGAAAGCAAGTAGAAACTACACTCATTCTCCAACTGCCCTGAGCTCTGGAAGTTGACAGCCTAAAATGAAGACTTGGAGAGGTAGTCACAATCTCAGAAGACATTCACAATTTTGTGTGTATGAACCAAGCTTTCAGGTGCTGTGGCTGTTTTTGCAATGCCAACCTGTGTCCATTCATGGGCCTCAGCCTGAAGAGCTGTGGGCTGAAACAAAGCCCTGCTCACTAGGAAGACCCATATTTTTGGAATTTTGTAGAGTACACGAATCCCCAAGTTAAGTTCCTAGATATGGGGCCAACTTAGAACAGTGCTGGGTCTATCTAGCACTCTATGAAGTAACCTACCTTACTGAGAACTCATCATATTTGTATGTGCTTCCTGCTTAGCCTCTATAATCTCCAATTATAGAACAATCTTTAAATATGAATATAATTATCTTAATGGAAACTGACCAAGACTATCAATAGGCTTTTAAATATACACTTGTGGCTTAAATATATTTTCTATTTTTGATAACTGATAAAAATAGGCTATATACCACCATTTCTAATATTCCCCAACTTTTTATTTTGAAAAACTTCAAAACCACAGAAGTTGAAATAGTAATAGTAAAATATTAATGCTGCCTTCATACACAAGGATATTTGATCAAAATAACACAGTGGCCTCTGCTCTACATTAATATCCAGACACTTTCTCCATACTTACAAGAAAAGAAGGCTCATTTTTAGTGAGAGGAGCTTTCTGCCCTCAGGAAGTCTATGTAATGACTTCTTGTAGTGCTTTCACTCAGCTCATTAGAAACACAGGACAAGACTTATTCCCATTTTACAGATGAGGGAACAAACTCAGAGAGGCCAAATAATCTACCTCCTCAAGGTCTGAAATCAGTCAATGATCCAACTGAAACCAGAAGGTTCTGACTTCAGTAACTCAACATTCTATGGTCACTTCCCTTCCTGGATATACAATGAGAGTAAGATCAGAGCCAAGTAGATACGAAAGAAGTATTTTATTTTATTTACTTATTTTTTTTTAAATATATTTTATTGATTTTTTACAGAGAGGAAGGGAGAGAGATAGAGAGTTAGAAACATCGATGAGAGAGAAACATCGATCAGCTGCCTCCTGCACATCTCCTACTGGGGATATGCCCGCAACCCAGGTACATGCCCTTGACCGGAATCGAACCTGGGACCTTTCAGTCCGCAGGCCTACGCTCTATCCACTGAGCCAAACCGGTTTCGGCAAAGAAGTATTTTAGTCTTTATTCTTCTGACAATCAGAAAGCTAATATTCACTAGGACCCATGTGCATAGCATTATCAATCAGAAATTTGTTATTATGAACATAGAACCAGAGTGGAAATCTGAAGTGGGAGGACAGTTACAGAAGATATTGACATTTCTGTCAATTGCCCTGGTTTGAGTTCATTTATTGAGAGCTTATTCTGTCCCAGGTACTGTGTTTGGGATATAGAGCAAATCAGACAGACAAGGAGTCTGCCTTTGTGGAGTTCACATTCCAGTGGGTTAATGAACAATCCAGAAGCTGCTAATAAGAGACTGGTGGGCTGCATCTGGCTCATATTAGTGTTTTGTTTGGTCCATACCGTGCTTAATTTTTTTCTCTTTATAATAATCTGTCAACTTCTAGCTTCTCTGAAACAGGCAATTTCTGCTAGATTCCTGAATAACTAGCAGCCACCACTGTCCCTTACCCAGTATACATGCCCTCTAGGGATCACTTAGGTCCCTACTATTTCCTATTGTCTTACACCCAGAAACACCAATTCATGCATCTACATTACCCACTTGACATCCATAAACATTTAAATTGAAATTCCTGAAGCAAACAAATATCCAAACAAGATAATTTCAGATAGCACTCAGAAATAAAAAATAATAAAATAACTTAATATGATGGATGTTATATGATTGGTGGAAAGGGCTACTTCAGACTGGGTGATTAGGGAGGGTCTCTCTGAAGTGTAATTTAACTGAGACCTGAATTATGACAAACATGACAAGTCAGCCAACAGAAAAGAAAAATGCTTCCAAGCAGAGGGAACAGCATAGGCACAAGTCCCCCTTAAGGCTGGAAATAATTTGGCTTGGTTGAGGAACAACAAGGTTGGGTGGTTGAGAAAGTTGTATAAAGAACACACAGGAAGGAAAAAGCCAGATTACATAGGACCTTGTGGGCCATGGTGAGAATTTTCGATTTTATTCCAAGTGCGATGGGAGGGTTTTAACTGGGAAACAATGTGATCAGTTTACATTTTCAAAAGATCACTCTGCTATGTGGAAAAGTGATTTAGTGAAACAAGAAAAGAAGCAGGGAGACCAATGGGGAAGCTATATTATCCAGTAGGTGACAGTAGCTGGGACCAGGATGGTAACAGAAAAGATGGATAGAAATAACAAATTCAGGATATAATATAATCTGGAATATAGCCAAAAGAGTTTTTTTGTAAGTGGATGGTAGCAGTGGTAGTGGGGTGGAAGGAGTAACTAAAGGGAATAATGATAACTCCAAGGCTGGGGCTTGCTCAAACATTTATGTGAATTGGGGGTAAGAGAGGTCCCAGTTTTAAAGAGAGGAAATAAGAATTTGATTTTAGATGAGTAAGTTTTACTGAGACTCAAGTCTTCCTAGAATTCTCATTTCCTTTATTTTACATCCCACATCCAAGCAGTCCTTAAACTCCAAAATTCAAACTTCTAAATATCTAATCTCTTATCAAATCTATCCCTTCAACTTCAAATACACTGCCTCTGTCCTGGCTCAATCCTCTCTCTTAGCATTTATTTTACAACAGCCTTCTGCAGCTACGAATAAACTAACAAAAAGCACTTAATATTAAGTACTATTAGACAAGTGTACTGCTCTCCCACCAACCACCTTTGATAGAAGAGATCATGTCTTATTTATACTTATCTCCAGTGCCTTGAGCTGTGGTGGGCAGAGTAGGTACTCAAATGTTTAATGAACTGAAAAGGGGTCCCCTCTAACAGGATATAACCTTCTGAAAAAGAAGACTCCATTTTGGGATTCTATGATTCCTCCATACAACCAGATACAAAACATATGATCCCAGAAACTTCACCTTCCCAAGTGTTTCTTCCTAATTTAGTTTCAAACTATGGTATTTGAGACTCACTTTCACCCATTAGTTAATAAATGATATTGGACAACACATAACATATACTAACTACTCTTTTCTACTTTTCTTCCAAATCTAAGGACTTTATACATACTCTCATATCCCCACAACATCTTTGTAAGGAGGTCAAAAGGTTATTCTCCATTTTACAAATAACAGGCACAGAATGAAATCCCTTACTTACTTTTTTTGTTGTCGTTGTTAATCCTCACCTGAGGATTTTTTTTTTTAAATACATTTTTATTGATTTCAGAGAGGAAGGAAGAGAAACATCAATGATGAAAATCATTGATCAGCTGCCTCCTGCATGCCCACCCCCCCGCCACTGGGGGTGGAGCCCGCAACCTGGGCATGTACCCTGACCAGGAATTGAACCGTGACCTCCTGGTTCATAGGTTGACGCTCAACCACAGAGCCACACTGGCTGGGCCCATTGATTATTTTATAAAGAGAAAGTGGACAACGGGAGGGAGAGAGGGGAAGAGAAGAGGACAGAGGGAAAGAAAGAGAGAGAGTGAAACACTGATGTGAGAGAGACACATCGATTGGTTGCCTCCTGCACATTCCTGACTGTGGTTGGGGATCAAACCTGCAACCCAGGTACGTGCCCTTTATTAGGAATTAAATCCGAGCCAACGCTCTAACCAATGAGAAATACCGGCCAGGGCAGTACTTGGGCATTCTTTAGGTTTTGCCTCTAAAATTACAAACTTCATTGGGTACCAGAAGGTCAAAGACCATGTTTCCTGTCTCTTCTATTTACCACTCTCCTCAATGACCAGTGAAGACAGATTCTGCCCCTTGGGCTCAGGAGAAAGCACCTTGGTCATTATGTTGGGAGATCAAGTAAGGCTAGGAGTCAACCAGCAAGAAGAGAGAGATCAAATAGGCAAGAACAGCTTCAATGGAAGGGGGGGGTGGGGGTGGGGGGTAGAGGGGCCACCATTAAAAAATACAGGATACCCTTTCAAAAGGTTTCCAGCTGGTGAGTACCTGGGAAGAAAAGTGGCAGCAGTGGTGGCAACAGAAGGCCAGATCCTTCCTGCTACACCCTTCAGAGTCATTTCTTCAAGGCACCCAGGCTCTTCAGGGCCTCCTGGGCCTGGGTTAGCTGCTGTTGCAGCCTCCGGCGGGTGCTCTCATTGGAGGTCCGTTTCAGGAGGCTCTGCATTTCTTCTACCACTGCCCGATGGCCAGGGGAGTTATGAAACAGCCGCACTGCTCGGTCCCCACAGGAGGCCAGAAGTCGACCAGTGATATCAAAGGACAAGTCAGTGATACATTCCCCATGGACCTGCTCAAAGCACTCTTCTTTCTCACCCCGCCGGGTATTGTAGAGATGAATACTGCTGCCACTGGCCAAAGCCAAGACCTGAGCATCAGGGGACAGTGCCAGGCGGCAGGGGATGGTGCTCGCCTCTTCAAAGCGGCCTGTCCTCAGCAAGTAGGGGTCCTGCTGCTGCTTGTATTCCACATCTGTGTCCCACAGTTTCCATGTACCATCCTTGGAGACAGAGGCCATCCTGCAGCATAGAAAATCACAACTCTAGTGCCAACACACCCTGGAGGAGAGAGCACTTGGGCAGCACTAAGAGCTCCAACTAGGAAGCCAACTTCACTGCTATGTCTACTTCCCGCTGAGTGAGGGTCAGGCACCCCACCCACTTTAGAGCTGCTGCAGAGATAGCCGGAAAGACCCTGTTTACCAAGAAGGGCTGAGAGCTACTGGTAAGAAATCAGAGAGAACTTACCTCCGGGAGTCATTGGAGAAAGCAAAGAAGTGGACAGCTGCTGAGTGACCCTTCAGTTCAAAGGCTCGTACAACCTCTTGGAAGTCACCTTTTTTCCCAAAGCAGACTTCCCAAACTTTGACATCTGGGGTGAAGCCACATGAGGCCACAAACCTGCCATATAAGCCGGGTTCCTTTAAAACTTAATTTTAAGGGCATCTTGTTTCTACAAATCAATTAAGCCTCTTCCTTGAGAAATTTAATAATCTTACACCTAAATAACATTATCTTTTTAAAGTGCTTTTATACACATCTCAGTTTACCTACATAGCCATGCTATAAGATACATAGTACTCCCATCTAAAAACGATAGATGAAGAAAGAGAGACTAGGCCTTAAATCTAGGTGTCCTGATTCCACACTGTATGCTCTTTCCATTATTTATAGCTGGCTCACTGCTCTGTCCCCACCCCCCAGCCCCATCCTCTACCCATCCCAGATGCCAAAGTCCCTCCTTCCTCACCTGCTACAAGGGGATATAGCAGCATGTGCATTGTTCATCTGGTTGGTGTTAATGGTAGACAACACCCGACCTTTCAGATTCCAGATGAGGACAGTTGTGTCACTGGAAGCAGTCATGATGAACTTTCCTGAGGAGTGAGGAGTGACATAAGCTGAGGTCAATTACTTGACCAATTATCAATCTCTAAGGAGACATCTTATCAAGGCCTCTGCTGCCCAAAGTATCCTTGCTCCCCTCCAGGGCCAAGGGTCAACACAGATAAAGATTTTGCTAAAGAATGTGGCTCTTACCTGCCTTCCCTAGAGATTTACTATGGCTCCCAGACTCCAGGAGAACACAGAGCCTCTTTATCATGCTGGGGCTGAGCAAAATGCTGAAAGGCAGCATTAACTCATTCAGCACATATAACTAGGGCCATGCCCTCCTGCCTTGGGCAAGGTCCACCCTCTGAACGTCTCTTACCTGTGTCAGCAATGCCAATGTTGATGACAGGTGCCTTGTGCTTTTTAGGAAAGTCCTCTGGGGTGGCTGTGAAGGTATATCCCCCATCCTCTCGCTTGGTCATCTTGAAGACACGGAGGGTATCGCCATTGGCCAGCCAGACAATGAAGGCTCTAAAGACAGGTGGCAGACAAGTAAGTAATTCATTCATTTGAACATAGTCCTATGTATGCCAGGTCCTATGCTAGATTCTGAAGAAAATCAAGACCTCCCCTCATGCCCTATAATCCAGCCTTACAATTTTACCCCTTGGTTCAAAATCTCTTAAAACTCCTCATAAGATAGACTTTTAATAGCTTTTGTTCATTTAGTTTCTCTAGGGCTTTGAAAATCATTATAGCTTCCAAGACTAATCTGGAAGCCAGACCTTGCTACTTCCCAAGTTGCTTCCTTGCTATACAGCAGCATAACCCTCTGGGGAGCCCCAAGCAGTGCTCAATCTGTCTGGATGCTCTCTTTCTGCTACTCAAAGGGAGACCCTGAGTCCCCGCCCTCACTATCCCAAACCAGATTTGGGAAAGCCATAAACTTGGGACTGGGCTTCTACAGGCAAACCTGAGGCTCCATCCTGTCCCACCTGCAGTCAGGGCTGAAGCGCACCAGGGTGGCATGGTCCAGCTCCACATTGGCCCTCATGCTGCGGTGCTCCCGCTGTAGGAAGTCCTTTGTGCTCCAGATGCGGACGGTGCGGTCATCTGCACAGGTGGCCAGGTACTTGCCATTGCTGCTAAAGTCCATGCAAGATATGTTCCCACTGTGGCTCTAGGGGGAAGGTATGCAAGAAGTGTGAATAGGAACCCCTTGGGCAGATGGGGAACCCTAATGTGCAGCCATGACTCCAGGGCACTATAGCCTGGATTAATAGCAAGATGCTGATGGGATGTGATGAGAAGGGACAGAATGTGGCATCCAGACTGACTTTGGTTAGAGACCAAGGGGTCAGTAATATGCACAGAATACTACAAAGGAAAAATCTGTATGTGTGTTGTGCATGGTACCCATGTACCTTCAGTGCTGCAGCCAGGAGACGGTGGGTGAAGTTGTGTTGTTGAGGCTTCTCCTTACGAATATGCTGTTGCTGTTTCTGCTTCTTGGATCTCGAGGACTTGTCAAGTGGAAATCCATTTGCTTTTTGGCCTATAAGGAAGGGCCACGTCATCCACCCATTCCTCACTCAATAAGCATTTACTAACCACCTATAATTGGCCAGGCATTGAGGGAAGCAACAAGAGATGGCCAGATATGGCCCCTGTCCTCAACAAGAGAGAGTGCTGCAGGCAAAATCGGAGGCTTTGGATTGTGACCTTGAGGAGGCTGCTTGCTGTCAGTCAATACAGCACCTCCATGCAAATTAGAAAAGGCACCCACTCGGGGCTGGTTGAGTGGGTACACAGCATGCCAGTGGAATGGAGATCCTTGACCAGACAGCCCTATATAGGGAATGATGTGCACAACGGAACCTTGGTAAGTTACTCAACTGCTCTGGGCCTTGGTTTCCTTAAAGTTGTGAGAATTGGATAATATATACAAAATGACAAGTAGAGTACCCAACACAAGCATTAAAGGCTCAAAGGACTCAAAACTGAGGGACAGTCACCACTCACTGAGTTACCCTGCGCCAGAAATGGTGCCAGTCACATTTGCATGAAATAGCTAATTTAACTGAGAACCAGGCCAGGTGCAAAGTGATCCAACAGTCACGACAGACACTCCTCAATTCCTACAAGAAAAAAAACTCCTGAGGCCCAAATGCAAAGATGGCTGCAATCTGCCCTCTGCTTACCTCTCCAGCCACTAACGGACACCGCCCCCCCCCCCCCCCCCCAGCCCCCAAGTCATACCAAATGCTGTTGAGGGCTCCTTGCCTTTGTGCATGATGTCATTGCCAGGAATGTTTTTCCTTCCTTGGCCTCCGGCAAACTCTTATGCCTTAAGACAAGCACGTCAAACTTGGGCCGCATTCGGCCCACAACGAATATTTTTGCGGCCCAGCCGATACGTAAGAAACGTTTTAATAAAAATTTCGTAACTTAATTTTTACAATATCCTGTTATACATAATTATTAATAACAAACTACAACGTTCGCTAATGGCTGATGGCTATAATCGTATTGCATTCATTTCCCTTCCACGCCTTACACGCAGGCGCACCATTTCTCGCTACTAATACTAGCGGCGAATATTTTAGCAGCCGATTGCCACGTCATTAGTCTTGGACTGACTTGTTTGGTGTGCGCAACAGGAAATGTTTTGCTTTCGGAGAACAAGAAAAAGAGGTTTACTTGCGTCACGCTTATTAATTTGGACAGTTATTCAGGGTCTGGTAAGTTAATGCTCAAGAAAAAATATTAATTTTTATTAAAATGTTCTACAATCAGTTTGTTACTGATTACTCATTTATTTCAGCCCTTTGTATTCAGCATGTCTCTATCGAAATAAACCTCCGTTTCTATGAAAATTGGAGCTTTTGGTTTTTTGCGGCCCACGTAAACTTAAACCTTGATCATTTGGCCCGTGTTGGCCTTTGAGTTTGACATGCTTGCCTTAAGACCACAACTCTTGTGTTCCCTACTCTCATTGAAGATTTCCTTGACGTCCCCCGACCAAAAATAAATAAATAAGACAGCAGGGCTGACCACTCCCACCCCTGGGTTTCCTGTGTCTAGTACTAACCTCTTCTAGGAAACCTATGACACTCTATTTTTCTCTTACATTTTTAGATGTTCTCCTCCATTGCCCCATAGTGGACTCCCTAAAGGAAAAGACCCCAAAGCCTGCTGAGATCGTAGGGACACAATAAATCAGGGAACTAGTCAGAGTGCTTACAAACGAATGTCGGCCCGTCCCTCGCCTCCCCGCCCATTTTCATAAAATAACGAACAAGTAGAGCGCTTGGGGGAGTTTAGAAGCGATCTCGCAGCAACCTGAGGACAAGCTGAGACTCAAAAGGCCGAGTGGCTTGGCCTCGGCCACCGAGTAGGCGGCAGCGTGGGGCCCAGGTTCTCACTAGTCTTTCCGAAGGGGCGCGACCAGCCCGGCCAGGCGGCATCTCTGGTCGGAAGCGAAGCTCATTCATTCCTCAAGAGGAGAAACGGAGGCCCAGGGGGAGCCGGCACCCCCTCGAGCCTGGACCGGAGGTCGGACCACGGGGAAGTCGGAAGCGAGGTCGCCGCAGGCTGCCCCTGCCCGCCCCGGCCCCACTAACCGGCAGGCCGGCCGCTAGTCTCCTCCTCTGCGCGTAGCCACCCCCGCGCTACCGCCGCCGTCGCCATCAGGGCCAGCAGCCCGAGCAAGAGCGACACTCCCATCAGCTCCGACATCTGTGGAAGCTCCATGTTGGCCGGAGGGCTGCCACCTCAGCTTCAGGCTACGCGGGCGCCTGCACGTCTCCGCAGGGCCGCGCACGCACGCGGGGCGGGGCCTGACCGTTAAAGCACCTCGAGAGGCGGGGCCTGACCATTGAGGGTCCCGAGGGCGGGGCCTGGAGCTTCCCGAGGGGCGGGGCCTGGTCGTTGGAGCGTCCGAGGGGCGGGGCCTGAACATTGAGCGTCCCGAGGGGCGGGGCCTGATCGTTGGCGCGTCCCAAGGGGCGGGGCCTGGTCGTTAGGGGGAAAGTCTTAGCATCAAGGGAAATTCAGATAGGCTTTTACTGTTAATGGAGAAGGGAAAGAGTAGTCCTGGAATTGGAGTGTGGGACAGCCTCAGCAAAGACCTGAGAAGGAGGGATGCTGTTGGGGAGGCAGAGCATGAGCAAAATAAAAAGTAGCAGGTAAGCCCTAGCCGGTTTGGCTTAGTGGATAGAGCCTTGACCTTCAGACTGAGAGGTCCCGGGTTCATTTCTGGTCAAGGGCACATGCCCGGGTTGTGGGGGCATGCGGGAGGCAGCCAATCAATGATTCTCTCTCATCATTGATGTTTCTATCTCTCCCTCTCCCTTCCTCTTTGAAATCAGTAAAAAAAATATATTTTTAAAAAGGCAGCTAGTAAGACTGGAAAGGTCTGGGCCTTGAGGGGCAGCCAGCTCAATCCAACAAGCAGAGATGAACCTCCACTGGTTATTACAGGGAGAAGAGGGCAAAATTGGTGTCTTCAAAATTTTCTGGATGGACTAGTGGGTGCCAAGACCAAAGACAGAAGGAAAACCAGGAGGTGTTTGCTAGGAACCAAGAGGGGGCTGATAAGGGCCTAGAATTAAGGGCAGCCTGGGGAGTGGAGAGGAATTTGAAAAAATTTTTAACAAGACATTTCTTTTTTTAATCCTCACCCAAGAATATGTGTTTGTTTGTTTTTGAATTTTTAGAGAGAGAGAGAGAGATTGATCAGTCGCCTCCTGTACCAACCCTGAGCGGCATCGAACCTGCAATCTTTTGGTTCATGGGAAAGTGCTCCAACAAACTGAGCCACCTGATCAGGGCAAGACATTTCTTATTTTCAAACAAAGATTCACAATGAGTTGAAAAAAAAAAAGTTTGCCCACCCCTGGCCTAGAGGGTATTATGCTTAGAGAAAGACAAATACCATGTGATTTCACTGATATGTGAAATCTAAAGAACAAAACAAACAAAATCAAAACAGACTCAGACACAGAGTCTGAGAAGAAGAGGGTACCCAGAGAGGAAGAGGGTTGGGGGACTGGGTTTTTAAAAGATGGGAGGGGGTTAGAGAGATGGGTGAAAAAGGTGGAGGAATTAAGTACAAATTGGTAATTATGGAATGGTCACAGGGATGGTAAAAGTACAACAGAGGAAATCCTATATAATATAAGAGAAACATGCAAATTAACTATCCCTCTGCTACGCTCAAGCCACGCCCACCAGCCACGCCCACCAGCCAATCAGGATCAAATTAACCCAACTAAGATGGCGGTGGCCACAGAGCTGGAGCGAGCAGGAGGCTTGGGTTGCCCCGGCGATGGAGGAAGCCAAGCTTCCCGCCTGCCCTGGCTGGACCTGGGCTCCGCTCAAGACTACAAAGTTTCAGTTATAGAAGATAAATAAATCTGAGAAAAAAAAAGAAAAAAAGGAGAGGCTGGGAGCTTGGGTCGCTGGGGGGCATGGCCAGCCTGAAAATGGCCCTCAGCCCCTCACCCAGGCTGGCCAGGCACCCCAGTGGGACCCCCACCCTGATCCGGGACACCCTTCGGGGCAAACCAGCCGGCCCCAACCCATGCACCAGGCCTCTATCCTATATAATAAAAGGGTAATATGCAAATTGACCCAAACAGCAGAACAACTGGTAATGACTGGTCACTATGATACACACTGACCACCAGGGGGCAGACGCTCAATGCAGGAGCTGCTCCCTGATGGTCAGTGCGCTCCCACAAAGGGAGCTCTGCTCAGCCACAAGCCATGCTGATGGCTGCCAGCACAGTGGTGGTGGTGGGAGCCTCTCCAGCCTCCTCAGCAGCGCTAAGGATGTCTGACTGCACCTTAGGCCTGCTCCCCGCTGGCAAGTGGACATCCCCTGAGGGCTCCCAGGCTGCCAGAGGGATGGCTGACTGCCAGCTTAGGCCTGATCCCCCGGGGAGTGGGCCTAAGCAAGCAGGTGGACATCCCCCGAGGGGTCCCAGACTAAGAGAGGGCACAGGCTGGGCTGAGGGACCCCCCCCCGAGTGCACAAATTTTTGTGTACCGGGCCTCTAGTCTATATATATAAAAGCCAAGCAAGCAGAATGACCAGAACAACTGGTCACTGTGACCAGCAGCCAGGCAAACGGCCCAATCAGGGGCGGGGCCAGCTGGCCAACCTCTCAAAGCCCCTACCCCAGGGGTGAGCAAACTTTTTGACTCGAGGGCCACAATGGGTTCTTAAACTGGACCGGAGGGCCGGAACAAAAGCATGGATGGAGTGTTTGTGTGAACTAATATAAATTCCAAGTAAACATCATTACATAAAAGGGTACGGTCTTTTTTTTCAATAGTTTTATTCATTTCAGACGGGCCAGATCCGGCCCACGGGCCGTAGTTTGCCCACGGCTGCCCTACCCCCTGCCGACCCGGCCTCAATCGGCCCAGATTGGGCAGGCTGGCTGGATGGGCGGGCTGGCTGGATCCCACCTGTGCATGAATTGGTGCACAAGGCCTCTAGTATAATCAATAACATTGTAATAACTATGTATGGTGTCAGATGGTTACTAGATTTATTGGGATTATCACTTAGTAAGTTATATAATGTTATTCACTGGGTTATACACCTGAAACTAATGTAATATTGTATGTCAACTTTGAGAAAAATTGTTAAAAAAAAAAGTTTAGGCCTGCCTCCCTCATGGGCTGATCAGGTCTTACTTGTAAAGGCAAAATGGAATGACGCATCCCAGGAACCACTGGACTCCTTGGGATGTGAAAGGAAGGAGGCTGTGGAGAGAAATGAGGCTGCAGGGGTAGCAGGGCCCAGTCACAAAGCACCTTGAACATCTGTTCAAAAACCTGGCATCATTGGAGGGAAGTAGGAGCCAAAGAAGCAATGGAAACATAACTTCAATCTGCAATTGAAGATCCACCTTGCATTGATTGGAGTCTTCCCTACCTCTGGCCTGTGTTAGGTGGAACGATAAGTTTTGTCATTGTTTAATCAGTGATTTTCAAAGTTTGAGCCCTGGACCCAGCATCATTAGAAATGCAAATTCTGCCCTACCCGGTTTGGCTCAGTGGATAGAGTGTCAGCCTGCGAACTGAAGGGTCCCAGGTTCAATTCCAGTCAAGGGCACATGCCTGGGGTTGCAGGCTCAATCCCCAGTAGGGGGCATGCAGAAGGCAGCCAATTAATGATTCTCTCTCATCATTGATGTTTCTATCTCTCCCTCTCCCTTCTTCTCTGAAATCAATGAAAATATATTTTTAAAAAAAGAAATACAAATTCTTAGACTTCATCCCAGATTTGCTGACTCGGAAACTTTAGAAGTGGGGGCCTGGAAATCTGTATTTAACATGCCCACTAAGTGATTTCTGATACACATTAAAGTCTCTGAATCAGAATTAATCTAACTTGAGCCCCATATATATATAATTTGCAGCTCAAAGCCTCTATTACAGTGGCTCTTAACCTTGGTTGCATATTGGGAATACCTTAAAAGATGCCGATGTCTAAACCCCATAACCAGAGATTCTTTTTTAATTAATCCAGACTGGGCCTAATCATGATTTTTAAAGCCCTCCCTCAACCCCCCCCCCAAAAAGAAATTATTTAAATGCACATTTAAGTTTGAAGAGCAGCTGTAAGGGACACAGGAGGCTCATGCAAAGACAATGTTCTGTTGGGCCAGGGCAGTGACTGTGGAGATGAATGCTTACAATGTCAACTGGCCAGGCCTCTGTAACAGATCCTATAGGGTAGTGGGGTGTGGGGAGGAGCCAGGAAGGACTGTTTGCAGCTTACACAAGTGTCCGAATGGTGGCACCTTCCCTGAGGATGGAGCGCATGGAGAGGACCAGGTTTGAGGGGGAAGACTTGGGGTACAGTCTTAGGAATGATGAGTTCTGTTTTGACCCCTTTAAGGTTAAGGAAGCTGTGGAACATTCAGACGGAGGGCTCAGGGTGGCAGTTGGATATGTGGTTGTGTAGCTCTGGGGTGGAGGGGATGGGATTGCCTGGGACTTGCCATAGTGAGAGGGAAGCAGGCCAGAGAAAGGGACTGGTGGAGGAGGAGGCTCCCACAGCAGGAAGGCACGGTCAGGAAGGAGGAAGGAAAGCCTGCCAGGAATTTGGGATTCAAAAGGAGAGTGGTTGAAGAAGATGGTCTGGGGGCTGGGGAAAGACAAGAGCATGCAAAGCGGTTGTGGGATTTGGCAACTAAGGAGTCAAGGGACCTGGGTGAAAGAATCAGTCCTGGGGTATGGCTAGGCCAGAAGGTGGGAGGAGGAGCCCAAAGGCAGGCCGCTGTGGGTAATTGGGAGGGGAGAGGGAGAGGGAGAGCAAGACAACTCCCTCACGGGAAGGTGGCACCTAGAGAAGGACACAGAGCCAAGGGGATGTCTTATGAGCATCTTCCCAGTGGGTTATGAGTGGGTGAAAAACAGCAGAGCACAAACTGCCAGGATGTTACCTTTCAAAGAGCTGCTTCAAGTCGTGGCCTGCAGCAGCAAATAGCATTTTAAGTTTGTGTGCACCTGTCACTGCACAGTAAAGAGAAGTGTCTAATGGCAGAGATGAGTCAGACAGTCTGAGTGGGCACCTCATTAAGTGTGCAACCTGGGGCTAGTTAACCTCTCCGTGCCTCAAGTTTTCATCTATGAAATAGGGATATTATGATAACTCTTATGTAGTGTTTTTTGCCAGGCACTGTTGTGCTTTATATATTTTTAAAAATTGCTCTGAGAGGGAGGTAGGGAAGGAGAGGGAGAGAGAGATATTAATTTGTTATTCCACCTATTTATTCAGTCAGTCATGGTTGATTCTTATATGTGCCCTGACTGGGGATTAAATCTGCAACCTTGGTGTACTGGGATGACGCTCTAAGCAACTGAGCTACCCGGTACTTGACCAGGGCTTATATTTACTCTCAAATCCTCACAACAGGCCTGTAGAGGTAGGTATGGTAGGGATTGGGTAGGGAGGGATAAAGCCCTTAGAATAACTTGGCATGTAGTAAACACTGCATAGGTATGTAGTTGTTGTTATTATTCTATATGAATGAGAAGGGCAAAGCCCACAGAAGACTGTTTATATCCGGCAAATGCCCCCAGAAGTTCTGAGATATGAGAGGATTCAAACTTGCCAGGCCTGAATGGACAGCTCCATGAGAGGAGTACAGCAGTGAACAGAATCCCGAGAGCCACGACATCGCCTGCTTCACAGCAGGCCCTCAGGGAATATTTGTTCAATGGATCAATGAAAGGATCAATGAAGTGTTGGGGTCTTTTACCCCAACTCCCATCTGAAGTATCAGTTCCTTGTAAGACATCCCAGCCAAGCGGCCACCCGGTCAGTTTGCACATCTTGCACAGTGGGGACAACACTGCTCTCTGCAGCAGCACGTTTCTCCTCCTGGATGGTTCTGATGGGTGGCCCTGTCACTTCCACTCCTGGATCCCAGCTCTGCCCTCTTCCAACTTGGAAAGTAGTGAGCCTCTGTGAACCCTCTCCTGGCCATGGAGGGAGGATTTCCAAGATGAGGGTCCTCTCCCGCCTGGATGACAGCCACAGCCTAAATCTGGCTGCCTTACTTTTACCATCGCCCCATGGCGGCCTGTTCTCAACTTGGCACTCAGAGGAATCCTGTTCAGAAGTTAGTATCGAATCTTGTCCCACCTCTAGTCATAGCCCTCCAGTGGCTCTCCAGCTCAGAAGCCACCTCCCACTGCCAACCGACTCTCCATTCCAGAGCAAGATACGCTGACCATCCCTGACAGTTTGTTTTTATTGGTCAAGAATGCTCTACAAAACACGTACACACACGCGCGCGCGCACACACACACACACACACACACACAAACACACACAGACGATGCCTGCCTTGGCTTGGCCACGCCCCCTGCTGTGTGCTCTTCTGATACCAGAACCTCTAGGCTTCGTCCACCCAGGGATGCTATCCTGGAGCGCCCCCAGGTTACCAGTGAAGGAACAGAGAGAACCCCCTTTTCTGCTTCTCTGCTCAGAAGCAGAGGCATGTGCTCTACCTGTTGGGGAGCAGGTGGGAGTGACAGAGGAATAGGATCTTCCCATTTTCTCCTTTAAGTTCCTTGAGTTGCCAGTTTAGGCCCAAGTGTCACAGCTGCTCAGGCCTTGGGATCATCATCTGGTGGAAGCTTCCTCGCCCCCATTTTGCAGACTGGAAAATGGAGGTCCACGGATGGAGTATGAGTCCCCTAGGTCACAGTGTAGTCACTGGCAGAGCGGACACTGGAACTCAGTGTTTTCTGACTTCCAGGAGGTGGGAAGAGGCTAAGGTCCTGCTTAACGCTCAGGAAAGGGGACAAGCAGGGCCTGGGGCAGGAAGGGAGTGCCCAGAAGTTGTGTCTGGAGCCCACGTCCAGGGAAAGTAGTCCCTACGGCAGCTGAGTGAATGGCAGGGTCTGGTCAGCACTATAATGGTTTGCCCTCTGTGACTGCCCGTGCGGCTTGCTCAGGTATACAGCCTGGGTCCGTCAGGATACTGGTAGATGTGCTCAGCTGGCGGAGAGAGTTCAGGACAGCTGGGAAGAGAGAGAGACACCTCCTGTGGTCAGGACCCTACCCTTGGATGCTGAAGACAATGGGGTAGGGGGAGATGCTGGTTGGCAAGACTGTCTGTAGTCTCTTGGTAGCTGGGGAACCATCCAGAAAGCATGGTGGGATAGCCAAAACCCTAGGCTATTTTGAAGGCAGGCTGCACCTGGGGTCTGAGCAGAGTGGAATCCTCTGCCCTGAGGCCTGGACATCCCACTGGGCAGGTAGGTGGCTCACGTACTTGGCCGGAGAGCAGGCAGGGAGCAGTACTGGTCCAGCCAGGCCAACGAGGTCTGACGGAGGCTCTGCAAGCTTGCCGTGGACACCATTCCGTTGAAGGACTCAAACAGAGGCCGGATGAGGATGCTGAACTGGCCCAGGTCAAGGAATAGGCCTGTTGTCCAGCCAGTATCCTCACCCACTTCCCAGGTAGCCCTGACATCTGGCCCAAACCAGGGGAGAGGCCTGGTGACTATGAAGCCTTGAACCCCAAGGACCCCCACTGCAGCCACCCTCTCATCCTGCCAAGGCCTGCCCAGCTGACTGCCTCAGCTCCGCCATGGCCCTTCTTCTGGGCTGGACTAGCCCACACTCCTAGGCTTCCTGCCTGGCTCAGTCAAGAGCTTGATTAGGTGAGGGGGTAAGCAATTCCATGTCTTTCCTAGGGTCCAGCCCGCTCATGCCACTCAGAGTTCAGATTCCCCCAAACTTCCCTTGGGACTTTCTGTAGGCAGAGCTATGGTCCCCCCACCCAGGGGCTCCTCCCTCTGCTCCCAGCCCATCACTGGGCAATCCTGCTGGCCAAGATGCCAAGGCCTGGAAGGAGGGGTTGAAACTGGAGTCTCTTCCCCTGGAAGCAGCTCTGAGACCCTGCTTGGCCTCTAAAGCTGAGCCTGCAGCCAGGCACAACCTGGTCTGGCTGCAGCACTCACCCTGCCGCTGGCCCAGTGAGGATACTACCCAGAACTTCCAGTTGTGCAGTGTGCGGGCCCGGACATAGTCATCAAACATGTCTCGCATCTGGTCGAAACGCTGGTGTGTGATGGGCACCCCAGTGGCCGGCAGCTGCTGCTGGCATAGGCTGGGGGGGCATGGAGAGGGTCAGAGGTTGAGATTCAGGTAACTGGCCCCCCATTGTCCCAGCACCTGCAGGTTTCTGCCTACTTAATGGCAGCATTGAGCTCCTCAATCTGGTCCCGTAGCTGCTGGGCCTCCTCCTGCAAGGCCGCCCGCTCCTGCTGCAGCATGGTGATGTACTCGGCCGTCTTCTGCAGTGTCGTTGCTTTGCTCACCTGTGGGCATCACCAGTGTGGGGTCAGGTGCTGGGACCCACTCAGGCACTGGGGAGGCGGGAGGAGGCAACCGGGTATCTGGAGGGTCCTGAGATTTGGTCTTATGTAGGGGGTTCATGAAGAGCCCTGTGGCTCTGGGGGTACCATCCTAGGTAGGGGGCTCACCTTGAGGCTGGGCTGGGTGCTCAGCGTGCTCACCAGCCCATGCAGGGTGTCAAACCCCAACTTGATATTGAAGCGCCGCTTCTGCTCCGCAGATATGTGTGTGATGCGTCGGTTTTCAGTCTTGGGTCGGGGGACAGAAAGTGGGGTGAGCCTAGGAAGGAGTGTGGGAGGGCGTAGGGGGTAGCAAAGAGATCTTAGGGTGAGGGGATAGTGCACCTTGTCTGGACGACCCCGGCTTAGAATGGGCTGAGGCGGAGAGACTCGGACACTCATAGCCCCTGGGCCCGGCATGGAGTTAAGCTCCCCAGACAGCCGCCGCTCACCACCTGTGGCAGAGACAGACAGACCCACAGACAGACCAACACAGGGGAGCAGGTCCCATTGACCTGTCCCTCTTGTCCTGGCCCCAGATATAGTCCTCCCTTCTTCCTTCCCCTCCCTCCAACCCCTAGAGTCCTCCAATCCCTGCAACCCCTCTTTACCGCTGGGTGCTGGGGGTGACAGCCGCTCTACTTTGGGGACAATCAGGGGCCTGGGAGGGGCCAGTGTGGCTGGGCCCAGAGATGGCCGGGGTGGTGTGGGGGCCGGAGTCGGGGGAAAGAAGGTGCAGGGGAATTCAGGGACCGTCTCCTGAAGAGAAGGGTGGAGAGTTGGGGTGAAGCTCTCAGGTGGAGAAAAATGGAGGGCTGGGGTGAAGCTCTGAGGCTCCCCTCCACTCCTGAGTCTGCCATCTTACCCGGGATTTTGGGGGCCGCAGGAGGGTGTTGGATACAAGAGGTGGCTCCAGGGCTTGCTCAGGCTTGGCTGTGTACAAGCAGACTGTGAGGGTTCTCTCAGGTTATCTCCTAAGACCCCATCCCTCCACTCCAAATAGCCCACACCCCTTTTGGGTTCAGGGGTCATGTCCTTAATTCCTCACCACTCTGTCCCCCCCAGCTGAGTCTGCCCCTTTACCTTTACCCTCTGCACCCATAGGCTCCCCCCTTCCACATTTGGTTCCTGTCTCACCCTCTGTCAACTCTGCCCCTTCTATCTCACCTGCTGTGAGGAGCTGTGTGAGGCAGGAATTGTTGCCCCCAGCAATGGCAGGGGCCAAGGTCCGAGGGCTGGGCTTCCGCTCCCTAGGGGATGGGGTAGGGGGCTTGCCTCTGGGCTGCACACCTTGGGGCATTGTGAAGTGAGGCCCAAAGGGGGGCTCTGGATACCCCGAGGATAGAAGGTCCATGGGGAAGTGGGTCGGGGCAGGGCCTGTGCCAGACTGTGGGGTAGGTGAGAAGGTTGTGGGAGCAGGCAGCGGGGACACTCCTGACGCAGGAGGGACTGTTGGGAAGGAGAATCTGGGAGAGAAGAGAGGCTCTTCTTGCAGCATAGCAGGGGGCGGGGCCATGGAAGGGAAGAGGGGTAGGGGACAGGGCTCCAGGCCAGGCCCTTTGGCAGGGGCAGGGTATTGTAGGAGGGGTGGGGGTGTGGGACAGGGAGGGAGTTTAGGCTTGGGGTCTTCAGAAAGGAGGAAGTCAGAACTCAGGAAGACACTGGAGTCCAGGGAGCCAGGGCAGCTGCTCCGAGCCTGGTTGGGGGGAACAGACAGAGAGCAGGGGAGAAAGCTGGCCTTTATAGCCACCCAGGCAGCCTCCTGCCCTGGCTGAGCTCTGGACTGGGCACTGGGAGAGATAAGAGAAATGATCCCTGCCCTTTAACCCACACAGAAGGGAAATTATAATCTAATGAGGGTAGAGAGTGGAACACATTTATGCGTAAATTAGGCATGAGAAAGAGCATCAGTCTTCCTGACCTTTCATTCATTCACTAAATAATTTATGCATCCCTTCTTCCATCCATCCATCCACCTACCTATTTATTCTCTCACCTATGGGCTAGTTCATCTATCTTTTCACTAGCCCACCAGATACTAACCTATTCACCAATACATCCAACCATCTATGCTTCATTCATTCATCCACCATACATTGACTAGCCACTTATCCACCCACTAGCCCATTCACTGATCCACCAAATTATTCTTTTATCTATGAATTCCTCCATCCATCCAACCAACCACTCATCTACCTATATATACACCAACTCATTTAAGTATCGAGCCCCATCTATCCATTTTCCAACACACCCATCCATCCATACACTTATTCATTCACTCACTTGCTCAATCATCGGGCCATCATTTACCCAGTGCTGTTCATGTGCTTGAACAGTGGTAGGTATGGAAGATGCAGTGGTGCAAAACATAGCTCTTCCAGCAAGGCGCTCACTGTCTAGTCCAGGAGAGAGACCCCTCAATAATAACTACAACAGTGCATGAAAAGTCTGATGATGGAGGGAAAAGCATCTAACCAAGCAGCAGGGAGACAACATCCGAATTGGGTCTGGGAGTTCTTGAGCCAAAATGGTAGTCACTGTTTCCTAAACACACATGTTCAGTTTTCAGCCTCCATGCACTCGTTTGAGCTTCTCCTCCCATCTGACTTGCCCTCTACCGGTCTCTTCTGTCCAAACCCGAACTGTACACTAAGGCCCAGAACTCCCCGTCCTCCTAGAAGCCTTCCACAGCAAGCCGGCCCTTGGTGGTGCCTGCTCCATGCTCCTCCTGCCCTCAGCCTGACTCCCCCCAGCCATCTTGTCAGTTCTGCTTCCGGAGGATCTTTCCTCTCCAGCTGAACTGCACCCTCCCAGGATCTTTCTCCCCTCCAGTCTCACCCAGTGGACCAAACAAGCACAGGACTGGGCACTCAGAAAGTACCCGGAATGCCTCCTGGACATGGGCAAGTGAGCGAGGTAGGGCTGGGTGGGGTGGGTGGAACTCACCTGCTGGTGGTTATGCCCTGAGAGGTGGCTCATGCCCGAGGAGGCGGGGGGCACCTCTGAGCCCAGGATCCCACTGCTGAAAAGGGAGTCCGCCATGGGACTGAAACTGGGGGGCTCCAGGAAGTTTGAAGGCGTGGCTGTCTGAGAGGGGCGGTAGTTGGTGAAGAAATCTGTAATTCAGACACACAGGGTGGCAGCAGTTAGGGCTAAGGCCCTGGCAGCTGGAAGCTGTGGGAGGAGAGCGGGCCTCGTGCCCTGTCCCCAGGCTGGGCTGGGGTAGGGGGAAGGGGGGGCTTCCACAGGAGATTGTGAAACTGGGAGAGTTTCTGTCTCACTCAGGGGAAGCAGCAGCATAGGCTCGGGTGGGATGGGCCTGAGTGGGAGACAGCAGGGGGCTGGTAGGCGTGTGAGCAGGACCCCAGAAGTAGCCCTCCAACCAGCCCCACACTTGGCTCATGAGGCCCCCCTTTCCCATCCCCGGGGCTGGGCCCTCCCCTTTGTCTGCTCCAGTTACCAGCCCTGCTGGGGAACTTGAAGTGGGGGAGGGTAATAGAGTGTGACAGGGAGGGGAAGGGGCGAGGTCCAAGGGAGGAGCCCCACAGTGACTCAAGTTCAAGAGGTGAGTTAGGGGTAAGAGGGGTCAGGAGGTCAGTGTGTCTGGGACAAGACTTGCTGGAAGGTCAACAAATGGAACCTCAATAGTAGAATCCAGGAGTGGGGTGAAAGAGCTAAGGGGGTGATAGCAGGGGTCACAGGTCAGGCTCAGAGAGGGGGCTGGAGTGAGGGGTCCTGGAAAACCGGGAAGAGCTGGGGGTGGGGGGCAGCCAGATTGTTTGAGGTGCGGATTGTGTAAGCCCCAGGCTATTCTGGTTTTGGGAAGCAGCTGCCTGTGGCCTAACCACATCCCGGGCATGGGTGCCGCCTGCCCACCCGCTCCCTTCCGGGCACCTTTCTCTGACCCTGGTCAGCTTTCAGTCTGCACCAGCTCCCAAGGCCTCCTTGTCTGGTCAGACCAGACCCCACTGGCCTTGGGTAGGCCCCAGACCCCCAGCCAAGGGAGCTGGTAAGGCCTCTCCCCCGAAGGCCCCCTTAAAGGAAACCCAGGAATGAGACAGAGAAGACCACACCAAACCTTGAGCCTGATGGGCGTCAAACCTGTGTGTACATCTCTTGTGGCTCTGGGACTCACATGTGACAGGGCAGCTGGCTCCGCATATCAGTGTGTGGTCTCATGCAGCATCTGTCTCCCTTCCTGTCTGTCCCACTGTCTGTAGCTGTAAGTCTGTGTGTACCTGCCCTGATGTGAGGTGCTTGGTGTGTGCGTATCTGCCCTGTGCCCACCATGTCTGTGTGTGTGTGTGTGTGTGTGTGTGTGTGTGTGTGTGTGTTCTTGGCCACACAGTCATAAGGGATAGTCTTACTGTCCTGCTGCCTCCTTCTAATGAAGAACTGGGTGGCAGAGGGTGAGCAGTCACTGGTCCTCCATTCCCCAGCCCCCAGGGCCCAAAGGTCTCCTCACTACACCCCTTCAAGCCTGGGCTCTAGGACCAGCCTTGTCCTGGGCCTGGCCCCAGGATGCTGAGGGCCACAGAGCAGCCCCTGCTCCCCGCTGTTGCTGTCTCCACAGGGCTTTGGCAGGCCTCATGGAGCTGCGAGCCCCACTCATCACTGAGTCACCACCATCCCCTTATCTGAGATTGTGGCCATGTCCCCACCCAGCCTCCAGAGAAGCTGCTTGCTAGCCCTAGCCACCCACCGAGTCCCTCCCTAGCCTCAGTTCCCTCCACTGACCTACCATCCTCTCCCTGAGCCCCTCTCTCATCCAAGCTCCCTTTCCTCCTCTGAGCACCCTCACCAAGCCCCTTACCCCTCACTGAACTCTCCCCTCACCAGCCCCCTCATGGGTTTCCTTTCAAGTGAGGAGCTCTTGGGGACAATCCCAGCGGCAGCCGTGGTAACCCCAGTGCTCCTTGCCTTCCAAGTGCACAGAGCACTAGAAGAGGCCACACAGCCATCTCTTCTGCATGACACCCCTGACCATAGGCCACCCATACTTGCCCCCCATCCCCACCCCAGTAGCCACCCTAGGCTGAGAGAAGTCACTTCCTGGCCCCAGGGTTCGCCCAGCTCCCGGGGTGGGGGCAGTTGAGCTCCTACCTGTGGCAGGGGTCTGTGTGCCCAGATAGGGCGGCTGCCCTCCCAAGCTGGTCTGCTCCCAGGGCACTGCCATCAACACTTCTGCCCCCTCAGCCCCCACCCCTGTCCAGGGCTGAGGCAGGGGTGGGGGTGGTTCCTCATTCCCTAGTCCCCGCCCTATAGGCCTCCACCTCTTGACTGATCGGCCCAGGACCCTGTGGGGAAGGAGTGAAGGGGGTCACCGAAACTAAGCCTTTATCCCAGGAGTCCCCTTTTGCCCCCTAGGCCTTGGCTGAGACAGTCTGAGACCCGATGTCTACCTGATCACTGGAATGGCTATGAAGGCCCCTCAATGTCTGAATGTCAGGGGCAGCCTCCAAGATCTACAGCTCAGTGAAGAAAAGCAATATGAGGAGGAGTCTGTTGTGTGTGCTTTTTTATATAGACATGAGCATCTCTGGAAGGACATACTCTTGTGACCTGGTGGCCCTGGGGGTCAGAGGGGGAGGCAGGGAAACATACAACTTAAAAAAAAAAAATGTGCTGAAACCGGTTTGGCTCAGTGGATAGAGTGTCGGCCTGCGGACTGAAAGGTCCTGGGTTCGATTCCAGTCAAGGGCATGTACCTGGGTTGCGGGCACATCCCCAGTAGGAGATGTGCAGGAGGCAGCTGGTCGATGTTTCTCTCTCATCGATGTTTCTAACTCTCTATCTCTCTCCCTTCCTCTCTGTAAAAAATCAATAAAATATATATTAAAAAAATGCTTTACCAGATATAATTCCTGAGATTTTCTTCAAAATAACATAGGAGGAGAGAAGTGGGTGAGGTCTAGATAAAATAAGACTGGCCAAGATTTGATAAATGTTGAAATCAGTGATAGTTACATGGGGATTTATTGAACTCTGTTTGTGTGTTTGAAATGTTCTTTAATAAATAGTTTTTTAATGAATTATGTAAATAAATAGATTCAAACAAATCACAGTCCCCCTCTCCCCTGAGAGAGTCCCAGCATCCACTGCTTTCCTGGCAGTTCCCAGAGTCTGAAGCTTCAATGACCCTGATCCCCTGATCCCTACCCAGGAACTGGGTCTGGCCCTGCTCTCACCTAAGGCCACACCAGCCTCACCCCAAGGCCAGCCACAGGGACACCAGGAAAATCCCTCAGAAGTCACTCAGACCATCTGCCCTCCCAGAGGGGCATAGAACTGGCCTGAGGGCTCTCCTGCACAGACCCTGCCCTTCCACTCCAGGGGAGGGGCTGCCCCACCTGAGATCTCCATAAAGTCGTCCAGGCTGGGCTGCAGAGGTGTCAGCTCCGGCTGGATCATGTCGGCGTTGCCAACGTAGGCTGGAGGGGGCAGTGGTGATGTCAGGAGCAGCAGGAAGAGTGGAATGGGGACAGCTGTCCCCGGCCATCCTCCCTTGGCTGCCTGGATTCTCACAGGCCCTCACCGTCCTCGGGGGGCAGCTGCAAGGGTGTGGGGCTGGGCTGAGTCATGGTGAAGAGCGTGTCAGAGATGTCGGACAAAAAGCAATCGAGGTCCAGAAGCTGCCGCCCACCGGGGTCCTCCTCTGGCCCCCCCAGCAGCACAGGCACCACGCTGGAGAAGAGCTGCTCGCACCATCGCTCTGGTGGCTGCCATCCCCCTTCCACCTAGGGAGACAGAGTCTGCGGTTGCAGCCTGAGGGCTCCACTGCTCCTCCTCCTCCCCAGGCTTCGGACACAGGGGTCTCCCACCTCCCCTGGCCCTTCCACACCAGCCCCTGCCTGCCTGGGGGATGAAGTCGTCAGCCAGCCAGACGGCCTCTCTTTGCACCGTCCTCGCCTCTCTCTGGCGGACCCAGTTCACTGCCTGGAAGACTAGGGTCACACCATTGGCCTCTAACAACTACCCACAGGAGCCAGATCGGGAGGTAAGGGCACCGCCTCCTGCCTCCTCTACTTGTTCCTGCCAGGGATCGCAGGGTAGTTTTTAGGGCCCGTTATTCCCCCTTGCCTCCCCACCACTTGCTCAGTCAACCAGAGCCCTGCGATCTTCCCACCACGGCTGCAGGGTGCGAAGGGCTCAGTTAATCAGCCAGAGGACAGAGGCCATGCCTTATGCTTAGGGTCTTCCCTCACGTTCCACCCTCACACCTCCTGCCCCTTCGCCACTGCCTTGCCCACCCGGAGGGACGCTGTAAATTCTCTGGGTCCAGGGAACACCCACCTGCTTTGGGGCCAGGAGGTCCCCTTCCCTGCTGGACTTACGGAGCTGCAGGAACACACAGACGTGGACACTGGATTCCTTGCCCCTCCTCCATCACTCCCCGCCAAGGCCTCCTCTACTCAGAAGCTCCACCAAATCAAAGGGACCCCCACTTCCCTTCAGGAGCTCCTCCTCCCGGGGAAGTAAGGAGGCCGCGAGATCCTATGGCCACACGAGGGCGCTGTCAGCCTGGGTCTTAACGGAGGGCGGGGGCGCCTCCTTGGGCTCTTCCAAGAGGAGCGGTGGCCAGCACCGGCCGGGGAGAAGTCCGGCGCGTCCCCCGGGGTCCCCACTGACCCGTTTCTTGTAGTAGATGCGCCACTTGTGGTACTCGCGCATCACCACCTCGATGCGCCGCTTCCAGTAATTTCCTTCCAGGACCACAGCCTGGGGAAGACCGGGAGGGGGCTCCGTGCGAGGGGTAGCACTGACTCCCCCCCCACGCGGTCCCCTTCTGCCGGCCCCTCCCGCCCAGTGCAGAGAGGGACCCGAGGGAGGGGCCGGGGTTCGGGAGGAGGCAGGTGGGCAGTGGTCCCCTTAGTCTCACCTACCTCCGGTTTCCGATGCGCGTCAGCCTCAGGCCCCTGCAGGGGGGTCACAAAGCCACACACGGGGCTCTTCCTCCTCTCCACGTCTAGAGAAGGGGGCCAGGTCAGGGGTGCCCAGCTCCCTCGTCTTTCACCCCCAGAGGACGGACTCAGGAGCCACCCTTAGGGATGCTGCCTGGCTTTCGACGGTCAGATTAAGTGTCACCTCCTCTAGGAAGCCTTCTAGCCTTCTTCCCTAGCACTACCTCCTCTCCCTCTTCCATGCAACCCTTTGAAACTAACCCAACCCAGTAGGTGTGAAAGGAATGCTTGTTGAATGGGACTGGGGCCACAGGGAGGGAGCTGCCTCAAGAACATCCTGGTCAGATTGGCCTCTAGAACATCCTGGTCAGATTGGCCTCTAGAACATTCTGGTCAGATTGGCAAGCCAAGGGCCCTGATCCCTTGGCCCTCGCCTCAGGCTCCTTGGCACTGCCCAATGTGAGCTCAGAGAACCACCCCTTGTCCACTTCAGGGCACCTACCTGAGCCCCCTTTTCACCTCCTCCACTCCCTTTCCTGCCTCCAATCCTGATCTCTCTCTGGGCCCTTTTCTTTTTGCCTCGAAACACATTCCAGGTTCTCCTTTACCTCCCAAACTTTTCCTTCCCTATGCTATCGGACCAGCTAACCCTTTGCTTTCCCTTCAAACTCTAGAACAAGCATGTCACTTGCCACCTCCACTTCTGTACCTCCCAGTCTCATCTTCACCTCTGTACTCAGCATCTGCCCCCGTGCTCACCTCCCAACCATGCTCATCCTGCCCCTTTCTAGCTCCAGACCCATCCCCCAGTTGCTAGGGACCCTACACTAGGATGTCCGAACACTTGTCACTCTCAGATGTCTGCGACATTCCCTCTCCAGCCTGTGCCTCCTCTGGACTGCCAGCCCTCACTCCCGGTTCCTGTTTAATCCATGGACTAGCCATCTAAATCCCACGGATATGACATTTCTTCCAATGTAACCCTCTGGTCCATTGCCATTTCTCACCTAGACCTCTCTGACTCCAGGCTCACACTCTCTAGCCCACTTCCTGCTGCGGCCAGGTCAATTCTTCCTAAAGCGCAGTTCAGGCCTGAACCCCTCCAGGGCTCCCTAAACCTCCATGATAAAGTCCACACTCCTGAGTGGCTTCCAAGCCCTCCAGGACTAGTTCCACTGTTTTTCCTGCCTTTCTGTCTCCTTAATGCCCCACCTGGAAGCCAAACAGCTCCCACCGTAACCCCCCCCCCCCCCCCACACACACACATAGCCTACCCTCTGGTTTTATTTTACATGGAAAACCCCTCCCTTGATAGCCCAGAGCAGCTCCTCTTCCAGAAAACCTTCCCTCCTCTGAACCACCCTGGTTAGGCCTGCCTCAGTCTTCACCTGCCTCAGCCATTTCTCTGAATGCTGGCCTCCCCGCTGGGAGTGCAAGCAGGAGTTGCGCCCTTTAGCCCAGAATCCCTGCATCTGACACAGAGGTTGGCACCCAGAAGGACTTCAAAACCCCGAGCAGTGACTTTTTCTAATATTCTTGACACAAAGGACTTCAGGGGTGTCCTTGGGGGCTCATCCTGCCGAATCCCTGAGTGAAGTTCCTCTGGGACAGTTGACACAGAGGAGGGAGATCACCTGAACATGACATTTCTTGGGACCGTCAACAAAGTTCTGACTTAAAGGACATTCTCCAAAATGATCCCTAGGAGATTGAGGAGGATTGCTGAGCCTGCTTGGACAGAAGACAAAAGGAAAGCCCTTAGGTATGTGGACTCCCAGGGGTATAAGAGTCCCAAAAAGCATCTGTCCCTTGCTTTCCAGATGAGGAAATGAGCAGTAGAAAAGAGTAAGTTTGCCCAGGGGCCCGAGAGAGTCAGGGCTGAGCAGGCCTGGTCTACTCTCTCCTCCCCCACCCAGGGACACTGTGCTCTGGACAAAAGGGCAGTGACCTGGAGGTGGGGCAGGCTTTATTTAACAATGAGAAATTCATCCATTCATGCAGCAACCTAGCCCCTTGCACCTATGCTGGGATAATAGCTGAGTCAGAATCCAGGGATGACTCAGGGTGCTCACAGCTTAGTGGTTGAGATGAGGAAAGCACACACATAACATGAGCTAATGCCAGGTGGAGAGCCTGCCCATGAAAGGGGCACAGTGCTCTGGAAGTTCAGAGGAAACTGAGATGAGTTTGGGGAAAAGAAGGGGTTCTGGAGGCCAGGAGCCTGCAGAGAGGTGGCAGGTGCCTGGGGATGAGCCAGGCAGCCCTCCAGCAGTCACCCCGCCCCCTCTCTGTTTTCTGAAGCCCACCTCCAAACCTTTGGTGCTCAGGGAGGAGGAGGAACCCTGACATTTGTTCTCTGCCTGTCTATGCTCTTGCTATTATCACAACAATAGAGATAGAGCTGAGGGCTCACTCTCAGGGAATCCTTGTGTGTGACCGCCTGGTGCTGCGATGTGATCGCACCGAAAACTCACAGCAGACCTCAGCAGTAAGACCTATTATCATGCCTACCTAACAGATGAGCAAGTGTCAGTTAGGGGAGGCTAGGGACTTTGCAAAGTTCACATAGTGGGGCATACTAGAACTTGACTCAAACCCACCTTTGTATGACTCAGAACTTGGAGTCCTTCTAACAACTTGTACAACAGCTGGAGACCACAGTCTGTCTGGGTGAGGACCCCGGGTTTGCACCCCATCCAGCTTTGTAGAAAAGGGGGACAGAGAGTGATACTGATTCCCCTGGTCTATCAGCTCCCTGGTGTGGTCAGGCCCATTCTCAGGTGAGGACTGGAAGCCAGTCAGCAGGATTCAATAAAGGAGCACTGGGCTCGCAGCTGGAGAGCCCTGGACTTCCCAGCTACAGCTCTGCTCCTTTTATGCTCCGTGGCACTGAACAAGTCACTTGCATTTTGGGCTTCACTGGCTCATGTATAAAATGGGGGTAATAATACCTATCTCTCAGGGATGCTAGGAAGCCTCAAATAAGATGATTTAGGAAAGAGCTGAACACACAGATGAATAACAACCCAAAACACACACACTCTCTCCCTACTTAGGTGGAATCTTGTGGGGCCAGTACAGAGAACACTGGTTCCTCCTGGGCTACGTGTTCCCAGCCTTTGATCCTGCAGCAGAACCTACCTAAGCTGGACAGGGTCCCAACATGGGCCAATTAGTCTATTTCTCCGCCTCTGCTGTCCTGCCAGGGGGAAGGAGAAGGGGTCTTGTATCCCTAAATGAATATGATCTTCTCAAGGTTTCCTCAGTTTCAACCATCATTTACTGAGCACTTTGTGCCAGGCTTGTTCATACCCGTTATCCCCACGCCAACCATGAAAAGTAGGGCTATTGGCCTCATTTTATAAATGAGGAAATAGGTTCAGAGAGGTTAGACAACTTGCCTGCAGTCACACAGCCAGCAAGTGACAGGAACAGGGTGGGAAACCAGCTCTGTGTACTCTGGAGTCCTTCATCTCTACCACATGGCCTCTCTGGGCCCTATCCCCCAAAATCTCATGGGATCACTTGGTGGGAGTTCAGTAAGGACTTTAATGAAGGGCTGGAAGAGACCCATGCAGGATCCTCAGTTTCCCCATTTGCAAAGTGACAGAATTGGCCCAGACAGTGTCTAACACCTCTTTCTAACCTGGCATTTGAAGCACCTGACTATACTACTGGGATGCAGAATGAGTCTTGAACTGTTCCCCAAATCTCAGGCCAACTTAGGACTTCCAAGGGGTGACTTCTGTTGTGCCCAGCTCTACAATGGAGAGCACTCTTAGAGAGTGCCAGGGACACCCCAAGACTCTCTGGGGGTCAGAAGCTGTTCAGGGGTGCTTGTGCTGATACTCCCAAAACACTCTGTTGGTGCAAGCTGGGATTCCTGGATAGCCATTTCCCAAACCCCACCCCCTCCCACAGCCCTTGGGCTGGGAAGGCCCATGGTACCCACTCACACTGGATATACCAGGCTCTCCAGATGGCGTTGTTGAGGCGGATCTTGTCTCGGCAGAGCAGCTTGAGACCTTTGAAATTCTTCCACTTGGGAGACACCAGCTTTCCACTGTCAGAGGGAGAGGGCTGGGTCAGAGCTGAGGGTGGGGAAAGGGGCTTCTGCAGAGGCTGGCTCTACACAAGCACTAGGCACTCATCTGTGGTGGGCACTTTGAGGGATCCTCTCAAGTCCTGCCCCTCTCTGTAACCTGCCTGAAATTCCTACCTTGAAAGTCAGGCTTTAAAATATCCTTTCAGCCCTAGCTGGTTTGGATCAGAGGATAAAGCATAGGCCCACGGACTGAAGGGTCCCAGGTTCAATTCTGGTCAAGGGCACATACCTCAATTCCTGGCCCTAGGGTGTGTGAGGGAGGCAACCAATTAATGTGTCTCTCTCACATCAATGTTTCTCTGTTTCTCCCCCTCCTTTCCACTCTAAAAATCAATGGAAAAATATCCTCAGGTGAGGATTAACAAAAAAAGTAATAAAATACCCTCCCAGGTGCCCACTAGGGGACCTTGTGTTCTTTGGTGAGATCTGCTTGTTAATCTACTACCAGAACTAGAGCCAGGACTGGAGCCTGTTTATCAGCTTAATCTTCATAGTACTACCCAGTGGCCTTACAAGCACCTGTCTTGTAGGCCAGCTAGATACAGTTCTCACTGAAGGAAACTGAGGATCAGGAAGAGAGAGGGACATACCCAAGATCACATGGCAGAGACTCGCCCAGGCCCTGTGGCTTTTTCTTTTTTTTTTTCCACCAGTCTTGCTGGCTCCCTAGGTCAAGGGGATGGGTAAGGTTTGTCTGGCAAGGAGAGGAAGCCACTTCACCAGAGGTGGCCTCCAAGCAGCCAGCCACTGCCTTTTCATTGCCCTTCTGGTGTCTGCCCAGCCCCAAGTCCTAGAATGGCAATCTGGACGGAGCTGGAAGGTATGCCCCTTTCTCAGGGATGTGCCCAAGACAATACCATTCAGATCCAAAGGAAGGCATCTGAGATGATGGAGTAGTGAGCAGGGGGAGGCAGCATCCTGACCCTAAACCGAACCCTAGCAGTCAATTAAATTCATGAGATGAAAAGGCTCTACACAGATGAGGAGCTTGCCTCTCAGGGCCCTCTAGGCGCAGGCCAAGTTTGCCACCTCCAGGGAGCTGACCTAGGAGGTCAAGATGTTCAGGGTCTTAGACACCTGCTCGTCCCTCCCTCCTCATGACCCACAAGCCAGGGTTGTACACCAGTCCCTTCTGGCCCACCTTCTCCAACCCTTATTCACATAGAAGGCTGAGGCCTCAAGGCGTAGTCTTAGCCTTTCAGAACACTAGGCCTGCTCTGCTGAGGGGCCTCTCTCTAATCCAGGGGGTAAGGGACAGGTAGGTGGCAGTCTGACTCCTACAGCCCCTTGGGTGCATAGGTCACTAGGCCTCCTCTCCTCTTTGGTCTCCAAGCTCCTGTGTTTGCTTTGGAATAGGGAGAGGGGTAGACTGCCACCCTAGGGCACATCAGGCCTCATTACCCAAATAGAGTACATAACCCAAGCGCACAGGCCCGCTTGCTGGCCCTCTCCCTCCTAAGTTAGATAAACACCATCTGTCTGGAGAAATGGGAGAGTACTCAGACACATCTTGGGCCAGCTTTTTTTGTGGCACCTGGGGGGCTTGGGGGGCCTCCTGAGTTTATTGCCCCTGCCTGTATCCCAGCAAACCTCCCAGCCCACTCTGGTCACCCAGTGCCCCACCTCCAGCCTGCCTGCCTTTCCTCTTTCTGAGGTTATAGTGTTGTGGCCAGGTAAGACTAGAGGAGATGAGACGACAAAATCTAAGCCCAGGAGGAAAGTCTGTGCTGAACTTGTTGGCTCCGAGAGGGGCGGGGGGGGGGGGGGGGGGGGCGGGCAACCTGGAGCAAAAAGCCTGAAGCCAGAGTTCAAGGACTTCTTATGACCAGAAGAAAATCTGGAAATCTTGGGGATGGGATGGGGAAAACTCAGAAGTCCTAGTTCAGTTTCCCCTACTCCCACACATATCTACCTTACAGCAATTCCCTTGGAGTCTCCCAGGCAGGGTCCTGCTTGCTCCCCCATTTCCCCGAGGCCATTCTTTCCATGGCTCTGGCCAGCTCTGACGATGAACGAAGTGTATGCTTAGGACTTCCAGAACCTGCCTCCCTGGAGTTTCCACCCAAAGAACCATAGAACATGGGGTTCCTCCTAGAAAAGTCCTTCCTCTGCCCACACTGCCCTTCTGAGGGTGAAGCTGGCCAGGCTTCCCCAGGCTCTCCTCCGGGTCAAGCTGGCTAGTTCCTCCCAACACCTTTGGACCCATTGCCTTGCTGTCCCTTCCCATCCACTCACTCTCTTGGGATACCCTAGACTCTAGGGCCTAGAGATTGCTCCCCCAAGCCTCTCCCTCCAGGGAGCCCCAATAATTAGGGGTCTAAAGGGCTAAAACACAATCCCAATCTGAGCCTCAGTTTTTTCCTCTACCCAATGGGGGAACCCAAGGGCTCCACTTCCATCCCTGGAGCATAAGGCCTGAGGGAGTGAATATTCTGGTTGTTTAGGGAGAAAGCACAGCTCTCTCCATCCCAGCTGCCCCCCCCCACCCCCCACCCATCGGAGTCACACCAACTTCCAGTCGACCTCTTAGTGGGGACAGTTCTTGGAATGTGCTCTGTCCCCTACCTTGCCACCTCCTCTTTTGGTCACCCATGGTCTGGGGTTAGGGGTGGGTGTTAGCCAGCCCAGGTAGAAATGGGGGCCGGGGCGGGGGGGGGGGGGGGGGGCTGGGGAGGAGGGGTGCCCGCACCTGGTGTACTGGGACCTCAGATGGCCGGCTCAGGCGGTCTGCGATATGAAGGGAGGGGGGGGGGTGTTGGGGGAGGGATGGGAATTTGAACTTTCCACATTGGTCTGGCGCCTGAGACGATCAGGTTGCAACATGACCCGGGCCCGGGGCCAGAGCTTGAGGGCCAAGGTTACAACGCCTCCAGCCAATGGGGTCGCGGCTGCGAGGCAGCTGTTGCGAGTGGGCAACACTCCCCCGCAATTCCCACCCCAGCCCCTGCTCCGGCTCCGGCTCCGGGTCAGAGCAGCCAGTGCGGGTCTGTAGACTACAGTTCTCTGAAGGGGAGGAGTGTCTCGGAGGAAGCGGAATGTTTGCAGAGAAAAGATCAACGCCAGCCGAACCCCCCGCCACCCCCCCGCCCACACCCACACACCCACACACACACTCCCACCCCCTCCTTTATCCCGTACGGTTTTCGGTTGATAATTTATCCTGGCTCCTCAGCTCCCGGGAACTTTGCTCCAGGGCACTGGGCCAGGACCCGGGTTCGCGCCCTCCCCTGGGACACAGGCATGGCGTTGGAGCTGGGCGGACGGCGCGCCCTGAGCAGCGCCAAGCAGGGGTCCTGGGCAGGACGAGGCGCCCAGCCTCTAAGAGACCGGGTGGGCGAGCCCAGGCCTCCGGCATCCGCCCCTCCGGCTCGCAGCACCCCCTGCCCGGCGACGGCGGGAACCTTTGCGAGCTGCGCCCCCTTGGGTCCGCCCGGGGCACCCTCTCCAGCTACCCTCGCCCCGGCAGATCAAAAACAGGTGTCCCAGCAATTGGGGTGGGGGCTGTGCAGGACGAGAGACTGGGTTTCAATCGACAGTTGGCTATGAATGGGGACAACCACGGACGCGAGGCGAACGGCGAGGGCGCAGGGAGAGAGTGGGTGTGGGCCGGGGCTGCTCGGGAGGGGGCGGGGGCTGCAGGTGGTCGCGTGGAGTGGCCCCGGGTGGAGGGTGGGAGGGACAGGGTGGCCGAGGATCCCAGGAGCGCGAGGGATTCTCTGGCATTTCTTTGGGAGCAGAGGATGGGGAGGGGAGGGGGCCCGCGGTGGGCCGACGGAGGTCGAGGTCTGCGCCCTGGGAAGAGTGATGGTCGTGAGGACGAGGACGGGAACCGGACAGTACGCAGGCCCGATTGGGATCAGTAGGTTGGGCCAGGGTCAGAGGACGCTGGGGGGGGGGGGGGGGGGAGGAGAGGGTGTCCAGGATGTGGCCGGAGTCTCCGAGCGCAGTCGGGGACCCGGGCTCGGGACCGGGTCGGGTGTCCGGGGCCTCGGTGCGCGGTCCCGCCTGGAGGGCCCAGGCCGTCGGGTCCCGGAGCCGCCCTCACCTGTAGGCCAGGCTCATGCACTCGAAGAGGCGGGTGAGTGTGGGGTCGATGCTGCGCGGCCCGAAGTCGGCGAGCCCCACGGGCCCCTCCTGGTCCCGCCGTCGGGTCAGCGAGTCGCTGTGCGGCGACGACACCATGAAGTGACCGCTGTGGATGACCTGCGAGCGGAGCCGCCCGCCCGCGCTGCGGCGGGTGCTCGGGTCCTCCGAGTCTGTGTCTGAGTCCGAGTCCGCGCTGGGCACAGCCCGTGGGCCCTGCAAACCCGCGGCCAGACCTGCCAGCGCCCCGGCGGTGGCCATGGCGGCGGTCGCCTCCCGGGGCTCGCTGGAGCCGCCGGCCGGGCTGCGGGGGCCAGGCAGCCCTCATTAGCATCGCCCTGCCCCCGGGTCCCTGTAGGTCGCTCGGCGGGGCGGGGCTGCAGGGCTCCCCGGGCCAGAGCGGACCGAGAGGGCGGGGCTTAAATGAATATAAAACACCGCGTAGGTGCGGGCTGCGGAGCTCCTGAGCCTACAGTTTGGAGCAGGAGGAGGTCCCTGTCTTCCCAAACGCCTTTCCTTCTGCTGTGACCAGGTAGAGCAGCGGTTCTCAACCTGTGGGTCGCGAACCCTTTGGGGGTCGAACGTCCCTTTCACAAGGGTCGCCTAAGACCATCGGAAAACACATATATAATTACATATTGTTTTTGTGATTAATCACTATGCTTTAATGATGTTCACTTTGTAACAATGAAAATACATCCTGCATATCAGATATTTACATTACGATTCATCACAGTAGCAAAATTACAGTTATGAAGTAGCAACGAAAATAATTTTATGGTTGAGGGTCACCACAACATGAGGAACTGTATTAAATGGTCGCGGCATTAGGAAGGTTGAGAACCACTGCTCTAGGCTGTTTGATAGGTGCTTGTTGTTGTTTTAAATATATTTTTATTGATTTCAGGGAGGAAGGGAGAGGGAGAGAGAGATGAGAGGGAATCATTGATTGGCTGCCTCCTGCACACCCCCTACTGGGGATCGAGCCTACAACCTGGGAATGTGCCCTTGACTGGTTGAGAACCACTGATAGAGTCTTGGCGGAACCGTCCCTGCTCCACCCAAATGGGTTTCCGGATTTGATGATCAGTCATGCACTCCTGATCCTGAAAGCACCTCAGCGCCTGGGGCTCCAGCTTCTAGGGATGACTTCCCATGAAGCCCCTCACCTAACTACAACCCCCCTGACCTCTGACCTCCCAGCTCACATGCACCCCCTCTCAGTCATCCACACACCTGGAAGTACCCACCTCTCAGAAGTCTTGTGTGGAAGGTCTCAGGACCCCCAGTTGCCATTATGGTCATCACGGCACCTGCACAGAGCCCCAGAGGGTTACCTGAATGTGAATCCTGCGAGGCCAAGCAGGGTCAGTCCCAGTGGTGATGGGCGATGGCTGGCAAGGTGGAGCCTTGTCACCCTCCCCTGGATATCCCCCCGCAGGCCATCTGCTCAGGAGCTCCGCAGCCCACCCTGAGGTCCAGCTTATGTTCCTGTGTCTAAAGTCCCTCCTCTCACTCTGAGGACATAAACCAGGATGTTTGGTCTGAGGCACTCACACCTGTCACCTCTCTGGCACCTTTGACAATCCTTAGAGGGGGGTTCTTGCCCCACTTTCATGGGGCACCAGAGTCCATAGGAGTGGAAAAATGCCCCAAGTACTGGCAGAGGAACAGCAACACAGCCTGGTCTGAAAGGAGTCTAGACTTCCCACCCAGGGCTATCCCTGGTGGGGAGCAGGGGTGGGCTGGAGGCAAATGCTAACCCGCTGTGGTTTTGACAAATAGGTGGCTTACATGTGGTTACATAAGTAAGGTGGTTTCTTCCATGGTAGGGTCCCAAAGCTCCCACAGTCAAATGACAGTGCCCCTGGCCCGGCTGAAATTGTTACCAAAAGCTGCTCACAAACCGGCCCTTCCACCCACCTATGTCCTTGGCTGGGAACCCTCTGTCCCTGACAAACAGGCACCTCATGTTCCCAGGAGCTCCCCTCCGCTGATTCCCTGCTATTCCCTCGGGGAGGTGCATGCTCCCTGCACATCCTATCAAATTCTGGGGCCTCAGGTACCAGCCTCAGCCTGCCTCCTCTGGGGAGAGAGCCATCCCGCAGAGGCCCTTTTGGGATCCTTGGCACAGAGACCAACAGGGTCATTACCTATGCTCTATGCGCCTGTCTGGCTTCTTCCCTGACCAGTGGGCCTTGAGGCAGGACTGTGTCCCAGGGTCTCTGAACCCCCACACTGGGTACCCAGGGACTTGGGGAATGCTTGGAGCAGGCCATGAAGCTAAGAGGAGCTGGTGGCCACTGTGGGAGGTCAAAGGTAGGAAGCAGGGTCCCTTGGAATCTTCTAGCTTCAGGGGCTCTGGCTTACACAGAGACCTGAATTGATCCTTACTCTACCCATAATTTTATGAATGAACCTGGGCAAATCTCTGTCTTACTCGAGGCTGCTCAAAGACTGGCCTTCCCATCCACCTATGTCCCTTGGCTCTGTGTCTCCACTTATAAAATGGGAAGTTGAATTCAGTGACTTCTCAGGTTCCTACAGCTTCCACTACCTCTGGTTCTAAGTCTCTGCTGTCAACATCCCCAGCTCACTCCACCATGCTCCCCCAGGCCTCCTGTCTCAAGGAGAAAACCTCCCAGTTGAATCTCCTTCCTTTCAAGAGACTTTCCCTCACCCTATGCTCCTTCCTTTCCAAGCCACCAGTTGCCCCCTAACAGGCATTTGCACCCCATTTCAGCCCTCGGCTTGATAGCACCTTTGGAGGCCTAAGAACTGAAAAGACAATCCTCCTGGTGTAAAAACACTAAACTGTACAATACGTGCAATGAAGTTCACAAATTCTGATGTCTCTTATGACTACATCTTCAATTAAAATTACATATATAATCCCCCCCGCCAACATTGCTGGGGCTTTGAATGTGTGCTTCATCTGCCTTGGCCAGTCTCCCCAGCCTGTCTGCTTGGCCATTTAAGGAAGCATGCACTCCTCGGCCCAGGCACTGTATTTCAACACTTTGAGCCATCATCTCTACCCCCACTGCAGTAAGTAACATTGCCTCCATTTTGCAGGTGAAGAAACAGGTTCATAGAGGGATACACTTGCTCCCCAACTAAGCAAGGGCAGAACCAGGCCTGATTCTGAGGTCCAGCCTCCTTCACCCACGAGGCTGTGGCCCTCTCCTCTTAAAAATGGTTCTAGCCACAGTGCAAGCGGAAAAGTCAAACCAGCTGGTGGTACGAGGGGCCTGGCATGCCTGGCAGTGGGCACAGCTGGTTCAGGGTGTCCTTGCCCAGGTGACAGCACAGGCTTCTGTGAGCTGACCCCGCTCACCCTCTACCTTCCTTTCCCATTTGGCCTCTATCTGCCTCTGCTCGGTGTTTATAGCTTCTCACTACACATGAGTCTCATCCAGGGCCATGAAGGTGCAGGACAAGGTCCTGTCTGGGGTGTAAAACCTGCTTGTCTCAGTGATCCCGCCTGACACCATACCCAGACTTTTTAAAAAAAATCCTCACCTGAGGATGGTTTTTTAAAGTATTGATTTTAGAGAGAGAGAGAAGAAGGGAGAGAGAAACATGGATTGGTTTCCTCCCATACAAGCCCTGAGTGGGGATCGAATTCACAACCTAGGTATGTGCCTTGATCAGGAATCGAACCTGCAACCTTTTGGTGTATGAGACAACACTCCAACCAGCTGGGCCACCCGGCCAGGGCTGTCTCCCAGTCTTAGTTTCAGGGATTTGTCCCCCAGGCTGCCCCTCCATGTCAGGAAATCTCACCCATCCTAGAAGCACCACAATCCTTGTTCAAATACAACTCTAATTTCATTCCACTCTGCCAGCCACCATGAGTGGTGCATATTCCTCCCTTTTCCACTAGATGGCAAAATCCCTGAAAGTGAAAACCACATCTATTTCTCCCAGTGGTTCTCAACCTTCCTAATGCCGCGACCCTTTAATACAGTTCATCATGTTGTGGTGACCCCCAACCATAAAATTATTTTCGTTGCTACTTCATAACTGTAATTTTGCTACTGTTATGAATCCTAATGTAAATATCTGATATGCAGGATGTATTTTCATTGTTGGCGATCCACAGGTTGAGAACCACTGATAGACCCTTTACCTCTCACGTGCAAATGAATATTTGTGGAATGAATGAGTTTATATCATATCTATCTAGTAAGTTGCTCTATCTATACACACACACACACACACACACACACACACACACACAGATAACATTTATTAAGTGTATATTATGTGCCTGTCCCTGTACAAGGTATTTCACTTTTGCAAAAGTTAAGAAATACTCAGAACTTTAAAAATCCATAGAGATAAGTAGTACACTAGCAGTCGCTGGGGGTTGGGAGTAGTTGGGTGTGAAGAAATGGTAGTGACTGCTAATGGGTGTGAGGTTTCTTTTATGGTGATGAAGTTGTTGTGGGATTAGATAGTGGTGATGGTTGTACAACTTTGGGGATATACTAAGAGCAACTGGAAAGGAATTAATTTTATATGTGTATTATATCTCAGTAAAAAATAGCACTTTATTTTATTTTTAAATATATTTTTATTGATTTCAGAGAGGAAGGGAGAGGAAGAGAGATAGAAACATCAATGATGAGAGAGAATCATGGATCGGCTGCCTCCTGCATTCTCCACACTGGGGATCGAACCCACAACCCAGGCATATGCCCTGATCAGGAATCGAACCGTGACCTCCTGGTTCATAGGTCGACGCCCAACCACAGAGCCACGCCGGCCGGGCAAAAATAGCACTTTCATACACAATTTCATTTGTTGGTAATCTTCTCAACTGTGTATGTATGTATGTGGGTATTAGTATTTTTATCACCATTTTACAGAAGGAAAAACTGAGGCTCTGAGAGGTGAAGTGATACAATAGGTTGTTGTAGAATTAACTATAAGTAGCTAATACTATGGAACCTAACCTAATTGGTCTATGCCGTCTTCATAACAGTCCCATGATTTTCAACCCGTTTTGTAGACAAGGAAACTGGCTTTGCTGAAAGTTTCAAGGTTAGACGAGAATTGAGATTCAACCACAGGCAACCTGATGCCAACCTGCCCCACAAGCACCTGCCTTCTTACATGAACGGGATTAGCGATCATCTGTGGGGATAGGAGCATGCGCCACCCCGTGCACCACCCCCGCTGCCACTGTAACTCGGCATGGGCACTTTGGAAAAGTGTCTGTCAGTGTCCGCTAGAGCTGAATGTCTACACGCCTTCCGACCCAGCAATTCCACGGAAATGTGTGTGTACGGGCACCACAGGACAGGTGCA